GACGGCATAATAATACATCATCGAGCCATAACGTATGCATTTATATTGTCTCCTTTTCTTATCCAAAACATCTTTCAATGGTGACATTTTACATTTGGAATAAATCGACCTGTCAAAGCCATTCTATTCAGCCATTATCATTCAACAGATTGGCGGAATCCATTGAAACATCATTTACAATAATGAATGGGATCGTAGTTTTGCTGGCCATGATACTAATCAGTATTACAGGACTTGAAGTATGTAGTCATGTTAGGCTGCTATGAGAACTCTAACCTGCAACATTATACACCCTGAAATAATTTCAGATAATTATTAAAATGGATGAGCCTGTCGAAGTGATTAGATACGCTACATTTGCAGGTGGCGTGATTCTCCACTTGTTATTCATAAGTTTACCAGGTCAAGAATTATCTGATCATAGCAGTCAAGTATCGGAAGGAATGTACGTACTAATGAATTGGGAAAATTGAATGAAATTACGATTTTTTCTTCCTAAATTTTCGTGTTAGTTACAGTTGCAATTGGTCTGCGATGTCTCTGAAGGCGCAAAGACTGATATCCATCATGTTGATGCGTAGCATGAAACCAATGCAGATGACCGCTGCAAAATTTTACCCTCAGAATTTGGAGAGTTTTGGGAAAGTGAGACATAGTAAAGCATTCATGAGTCTATTGAAAATACTTCATATAAATCAACTTTCTCTAATTTTCTAGGTCTTGAAAACTTCGTTTTCGTTCTTCACAGTGATGCTGTCAAATCGATGATTTTTTTACAGAATTCAATTCAAGTCCAAAACGAGAGTGAATTTTGTGACTTTTTATTCAAATATTGAATATGAATATAATACATGAAGTCCATTTGCAGACGGTTCCATTTGAAATAGCACGGTTGAATAACTCTTTGAAGACGAAATGAGCAGCTAAGTAGTGCGGATGAAAGTTGAAAGGTTTACCAAGGAAATTGAGTGCGGGTGAATTCCAGCCCCCATTGATCATGTTTTCATGCTATAACCATAAAGTGATGTTTTTTTATGGCGAAATAGTACACTTCATCACTAAGCCGGAAGAAACTTTTCTGGCGAATGAATTTGCAACCCGAACCGAAGGCGAGGGATGCCATCATATAAGTTAAGGAGATTCTACAATGAACGCAACGCAGGCTTGACGCAAATTTTAAATTGTAAAAATAATTAAAAAACAGTTGAATGATTTATTCAAACCCATCCAATTCTGCTTGGGG